CTCCTTCCCCTCCCCCTGGGACAGGTGCACTTTGTAGTGGGGCGGGGAGAGCATTTCTGAGCCCTTGCGGTGAGGTGAGCCAGGCTGAGAGGAGGAACAGGGTGGGGTGGGGAAGGGGCTAACTCCCTCTACCTGCTGTATGAGGGACTGTGGACACCCCACTTAGCACCACACCCCATGTCCAGTGCTAGCGAAGGGCCCAGAGACCCAGGGCCTCTCAAATGAGGGACATCCTCCCTGTAGTGCTCAGGAGCCAGATGAGGGAGATGGTTGTCCCTGGGCCAGGGGGAGCTTGACTGTCTCAGCCTGCTTGGTTGCAGGTCCTCTGCCCCACTACCGTGGACCCTGCTCTGGAGCCCTCCTCTTATCCCAGGGCAGCCCTCACCCCTGGATCCCATTGCCCCTCATATCTGTGGGGCCGCCTATGTGTCCTCCCCTCTTCCTGCCTGCCCAGCCCCTTTGATTGCACTACTTAGGGCCTAAGCCAGGCCTTGATCACCAGGGACTGAGGCAGCCAGGGGTCCCTGCGTTTCTGGGCCAGAGCACTTAGCCAGGCTCTTTGCCACCCAGACTGTTGTGCTGGTTAATTTTGATGGGGGCTGGTTTCCGGGGTGGGCACGGGGAAGGGCAGGGGCTGGGGGCGAGGAAGGCAAGGGACATTCCTGAGAGCACAGTGTCCCTGGTGGGTGGAGAACAGGCAGGGGTAGGTCTGCACTGGGCAGATGGACAATGACAACAAGAGGACAGGTGCATGACCAGGCTGCACCTCATAAAAACAAACAAGATGGTGGGGTTTTCGAGACAGAGTTCTGGGTTCAGAGGGGCCCAGCAAGTACACGCCCCAGCCCGCCGCCTGGGCTAAGGTACCACGTAGATTAATGTCCTCATTCAAAGGAGGTGACTTTTCTCCCCTGTGTTATTTTATCAATGGGGAAACTGAGGCACGGAGAAGTTTAGTGCCTTTACTTGGGATTCCGACTCTACCACCTTGACCCAGGCCAGGTCCTGAGCCCCCTTTGGGGAACGCTAGCCGTGGGCTGCTTGCTGTAGGGAGTTCTTCAAAGATTTCCCTGCTGTGCACCCAGCCTGCTATTGCCTCGAAGGGCAGCTCAGAGGCAGGCAGGGGGATGGGAGGGGGACAGAGCTGGAGACAAATCTCTGGCTGCCAGTGCTCAGGTGCCACGGAGCTCTTGGGGGTCAGTGCCAGGGTGGAGACCCTGGAGCAGGTCACTTGGGTGTGAGAGTCTTAGCCTGGAGGGGGCTGGGGTAGAGAGGAGCAAGCAGGGTGCTTCATCCTGGAAGTAGGATGGAAGAGTGCCACCCTTGCTCCCTCCTGTGGTGGCATGTGCCCGCTGGGGCAGCCCCATCTGTTCCTCATTAGGGGTGCAGTAGACCAGCCTCCAGGAGATTCATTTGTGCCGAGCTGCTGGCAGCTCCAGCAGCCTGCCTTCCTGGGGCCCCAGCCTGGCAGCCCAGATGTCCAGCTGACACCCCCCAAATGCTGCTCCCGTTCCATTCCTCAGTCCTGGAGACACAGGGGGCCAAATGGCTGGCAAGGTGCTGTCTGAGGCCTAAAGGTGGAGGGGGCTTAGGCACGGACATTCCACCCCCACCTGCTGCCATCATCCCGGGCCAGAACTCCTCTCCCCCATCCTGGCTGTGCCCTGCCACCCTAACAGGGCATTGGACAGAGGCACCAGAGAGCCCCCAGTCTTTGGTGTCCCTTCCCTGCCTGGTTCTGGAATGGTCTCTTGGAGCACTCCCCACCCCCTCCATAGGGTTTTCCAGGTGACAGCGGGTGCTCTCTGTCATGAATTCCACCTGTGCCCAGGACAGGGCTACCCGCCCAGAAAGCTCCTGCTGGGGCCCAAGTTCTGCCCTCCTGGCTCACCCAGTCTTCCCAGCCCCAGGGCCAGGAGTAGAGGGCTGCTGGAGTGGTGGCCACCTCCCACACAGGCCCAGCACATTCCTCAGATTTATCTGGGGACCCACCCGCCCTGCTGGACTCTGCCCTCCCACCCAAGAAGCTGCACCCAGAGGAGCAGAGAAGGAATTCCAGGGACTGGGGAAGCCAGCGGGGCAAGGGGCTTTGGGATTTGCTAAAGCTGACCGGGCAAATTGTGTTTAACTTCCGGGGAATTCACTGTGAGTCCGTGCGCAGTCTCCTGGGACACCCCCTAGCTGGCAAAGCTCCCTTGGGGCGATTGATGCGCACAGGAGCGGGCCCTGCTCTGGGCAAGTTGCCCTGAGTCGGACCCACGGTGGTCACTGATGATAGAGCTCAGGGGTGACAGCTTTGTGCCACAGCCCAGGCCTCCCGGGCCACCTCCCTTTCTTCCCCACCACCATGGGGAGAGCCCGGGTCTGTCTTCCCAGGAAGGGGTTAACCGCCAGCCGTGAGGGAGGGGACTGGGCCGGACCATTTTCCTCCACCGCTGCCTGCCTCCACCTCGCTTTCCTGAATGGTTCTGCCGCCCTGGGGTGGGGAGGAAGGAGAAGGGAAGAGGGCGGAGTGTGGGGAGAGGAAAGAAAGAAGGAGCGAGAGCGAGCGAGCGAGGATGAGGAAGATATCCCGTCTGTGAGCTGCTTGTCACTTTTCGCTGCCAGCAGGCGCCGGGCGAAGGAGCTGCTAGAACAATGCTGAGGCGCGCGAGGTGAGGAGCCCAGCCTGGTGCCCCCCGCCCCCCGCCCCGACGGAGCATCAGGAACAGGTGATTGGAGCCGCCGGAAACCAGGGCCACCTGGCCACCCCTCCCCTCGCCTCGCCAGCCGGGCGCCCCAGAGACAGCGGCGGTGGGGAACCATGGCGACCAATTTCAACGACATTGTCAAGCAAGGCTACGTGAAGATGAAGAGCAGGAAGCTCGGGGTGAGCCGTTCTCTGCAGGGCCTGGAGCTCCGGGTGGCGGGGTGCATGGTGCCGCCCCGTAAGTTTGAGGTCTCGCCAGGGGACCGCTTGGCATGTGCAGCCCCCGCCCAGCCCTCCGGCTGGCTGGCTTCCCAGCAGCTGGGCCAGCGGTGGTGGCATCTGGTGGGCAGGCGCCTCCCCCCGCTATTGTTGAAGTTGTCACCACAGCGGCAGTGGCTGCTCTGTGTGTGAGCCGGCCTGGGACCAGCTTCTCATGGCCTTCGCCTTTACTCTCCCCTCCTCTCCCTTCCCTTCCCTGCTCCTCCCACCCTGGAAGTACATCGACATGTCCCTCCGCGTCCCATGGCCTCTGTGGACAGCTACTTTCATTTCGTATAATTGCTGGTTTAATCGTAAGCAGCCAGGGCTGTGAGGGATGCTGATGCTGACACCTGATTGGCTTGTGAATAAGAACCTGGGTGGGAGGCCCAGTGGTTCTGACAACTGATTGGCTTATGAATGAGAACCTGAGTGGGATGCTCAGTTGGTTGTGACATCTGATTGGCTTATGAATGAAAACCTTGAGTGGGATGCCCAGTGGTTGTGACATCTGTTGGCTTATGAATGAGAACCTGGGTGGGATACCCAGTGGTTGTGACATCTGATTGGCTTATGAATGAAAACCTTGAGTGGGATGCCCAGTGGTTGTGACATCTGTTGCTTATGAATGAAAACCTGGGTGGGATACCCAGTGGTTGTGACATCTGTTGCTTATGAATGAAAACCTGGGTGGGATACCCAGTGGTTGTGACATCTGATTAGCTTATGAATGAGAACCTGGGTGGGATTCCCAGTGGTTGTGATGTCTGATTGGCTTATGAATGAGAACCTGGGTGGAATGCCCAAGGTCTGACACCTGATTGGCTTATGAATGAGAACCTGGGTGGGATACCCAGTGGTTGTGACATCAGATTGGCTTATGAAGGAGAACCTAGTGGGATGCCCATGGTTCTGGTTCCTCTCCCTCCTTTGGCCCCACAGCCCCATACCCTGTCTTGGCAGGATCAGCACCCTTACTGCCAAGTGTGCATGCAGGAGTGGGGTCCCCAGCTTTGTGGAGGCAAGCCCTGTATTCATTCCTAAGCGGGCCACAGACCACTGACTTGAAACACAGGACAAAAGGAGGCCGAGGTCAAGCTGCACAGCCAATTCTCAGTCCTGCTGTCTGATGGCTCAGATCCCCAGAGGTCAGCTGGGCTGGGCCCTTGGAGGGGGCAGCGCGTGGAGGCCACAGGGCTACCACGGGGGTCCAGGAGGAACGCAGGACTCAAATGCCGAGCCGTTGGCACATCCAGAAAGCTGGTGGGGGGAGGCTAGTTTGGGATGTCTCCCCTGAGAATTCTGCTAGCCCCGGCAGCCTGGATGTGAGGGGCTTTGCTTAGCCCCGAGGCAGCCATTCTTGTATCAGCCCACAGAGGGCAGAGGCAGGGCTGGAAGTGATGGGAACCTGCCCTCCTACCTGGCAGGAATCAGCAGCTAGGTTGGGGGATTCTGAAGCCTGATCAAAGAGCAGGGAGAAGTGGGGAAGGAGGGCTCTTGAGCTCCTAGCTCCCTGAGACAGTGTTTCCTGTAGCCAGGCAACCAGGGTACTCAGGCCCCCAGACCTCCTGCCCCTGACTCTGCAGGCTGCTAGAAGCCCAGCCTGGCAGGGTGAGTCTGGGTGGCCAGCGTCCATCCATTCATTCATCCATCCTCCTTTCCACTGGCCGTTCTGTGGCAATTCATTTGTCCAGCAGGCTTTTTAAAGAGGCTTCCTGGCTGTTCAGTAGGGATTTGAGAATCAGACACAGGCTGAGCCTCAAGGAAGCTCATCCACACACACAATCCCTCACACAATCGCACATTTTTTGGTGAACTTTGGTATGATGTAGGTGAGGGTTAGAGAGTGGGATAGTGCCTGTCCCTGGAAGGTCCCCGGCTGGGGTACAGGACTGAAGATTTCGGGCTGCTGTGGTTTAAGTCAGAGGCTGGGGCAGGGGCAGACAGGAGTCAGAAATGGCCAGACCGAGTGGCTTCTTGGGATGGGAAAGGGCAGGGGTTTGGGGCTGTGTGTGGCCCAGGTCCCCCACAACTCTTGCTCTAGGTCGGCCAGGGAGAGGGGACAGTGCGCATAGCTACTCCCGAAGCTTTGGGGACAAGGCTTGGCTAGGCTTCCTGAGTGTCCCTGGAAGGAGTAGGGCCCAGGGAGAGAACTGAAGCAAGAATCAGTAGCGCCACCAAGTGTCTGAGCCAGTTTGACTTTACAGCTGGCCCCACCCTGCTTGGCCCCCCCACACTAGGGGGGAGTCTCTCTCACTGCCATAGATTCCTTGCCAACTCATAGCGACCCTGTAGGACAAGGTAGAACTGACTTGGTCCCTGTAAGTTTCTGAGACTGTAACTTGGAAAGAGAAAGCCCCCTTCTCCCGTGGAGCTGCTGGTGGTTTCGAACTATGAACCTTGTGTGGATTGTAACCACTATGCCACCAGGGCTCCTTCATGAAGCTTAGACCTTTTAAAAACTGAACACACTGCCATTGAGTCGATGCCAACCCTATACTGTCCAGCTGCCCGTGGGTTTCTGAGACTGTCACTCTTTACGGGAGTAAAAAATCTTTTTCTCCTACTGAGCTCCTTGCTGGTTAGCAGCGCAGGGCAGCCCACTAAGCACAGGGCTGTTGGCCGTTGAGGCCAGGAGCAAACGGTACTGGGGTGGACATTCATGGTCTGGAGTGGCCCCAGGTTCTGGCTCTGCCCGCTGACCTCCAAGAGCCCTGACTTCCCACCTGGTGCAGGACGGTAAGAGAATGAAGAGGGAGGAGACCCAGGGCCCTGGCAGGCGTGGGCAAGGTCTGATGCCTGCCTCTGGGAGATGGCTTTCTGTGGCCAGTACAGGATGGTGGGGAGCCCTGCCCAGAGGGGTAGGCGTGTCGCCTCTGCCGCTATGCAGTCTGTGTGAATCCTGGCCCAATGTCTTAGCTTTTGGGTGCCTCAACCTCCCCATCTGCGAGGTGGAAGGACAAGAGGATTCCGAGAGCTCATTTTCAGCGTGCCGAATGACCGAAGGTGCTACTAGAAAGTGCTTGGTGACGAGTGAATGATGCTCAGAGTCCGTGGTAACTGAGGCCACGTCCTGTGGACAGCCTCTCAGGGCCAGCCAAGCGGCAGCCTTTTCTGTAGGAGTGGCCTCTGCTTGCAGCACCCCCAGGTTTTCTGGTGGCCTGGGGTCCCAGGAGGGCTGTATTTCACTGCCCCCTGTGAGCGACTTGGGTAACTTGTGCTGCCTGGAAGCCGTCCAGGGGGCCCTGAAGCTGGCTTCTTGCCCCACAGATCTACAGGCGGTGCTGGCTGGTCTTCCGGAAATCTTCCAGCAAGGGGCCCCAGCGGCTTGAGAAGTACCCGGATGAGAAGTCGGTGTGCCTGCGAGGTTGCCCCAAGGTTAGGGATGGGCCCCGCCTACCCTAGCCTCTAAGCAAGGATGATTTACTGCCTCACTGGGCCCTGGTGGCATAATGGGGTACGCATTGAGCCGCTAACCGGAAGGTCAGCAGTTCAAACCCATCAGCCACTCCTTGGGGGAAAAGATGAGGTTGTCGGCTCCTGTGAAGATGTACAGCCTCAGAAACTGACAAGCAGTTCTACTCTGCCCTGTGGGGTTGCGATTAGTCGGAACGGACTCTGGTAGTATGCCTTGTTGTTGAGATTTTTGAAGACCACTCTCCTGGGCAGGGTAGAGTGCAGGGAGGGGAAGACTCTTGAACCTGGCTGAGTCCCTTGTGGGTGCTGTCTAGGTGACTGAGATCAGCAATGTCAAGTGTGTCACGCGGCTCCCCAAGGAGACCAAGCGGCAGGCAGTGGCCATCATCTTTGCGGACGACTCAGCGCGCACCTTCACGTGTGACTCAGGTGTGCAGGGGCCACATATCAGGGACAGCCCTGGCTAGAGGTGGTACAGGGTGGCCGGGAGGGACAGACAGACCTTTGAGGGTACAGGTCCTGGGACTGAGGTGGGCTGGACAGGCTGAATCCAATGGCATGGTGAGATGGCTCTACTGGGTGGCCGGAGACCTGCCCACAGCCTGACAGGGGCATCTTCTCCAGAGCTGGAGGCGGAGGAGTGGTACAAGACCCTGTCCGTGGAGTGTCTGGGGTCTCGGCTCAATGACATCAGTCTAGGGGAGCCAGACCTCCTGGCCCCGGGCGTACAGTGTGAACAGACAGGTAAGACTGGGGTTGGAGCTGGGGGTGGGGAGAGGGGAATCAGGCAGAGGTGGCCTCCCTCCCGGGGAGCCCCAAGCCACCGTCCTCTCTCCGGCCAGATCGCTTCAACGTCTTCCTGCTGCCCTGCCCCAACCTGGATGTGTACGGCGAGTGCAAGCTGCAGATCACCCACGAAAACATCTACCTCTGGGACATCCACAACCCCCGCGTGAAACTCGTCTCCTGGCCGCTCTGCTCGCTGCGCCGCTACGGCCGGGACACCACTCGCTTCACCTTCGAGGCTGGCCGGTAGGAGCTCTGGCCTCCCACACTCATGGTCACTGCCATCACTCTGCACCAGGCTCTTATCTGCAGAGCGGCCCCAAAGGGACGAGATACTCCCATTTTACAGGTGGAGAAAGTGAGGCATAGGGTAGCCTGCCCACAAGGGGTCTAGTCTAACTGCCACTTCCTGGGTGGGGAGTCCAGTCTGTTTCCTCACCTGTCTAATGGAGGCTAAGTGCCGGCAACCTCGTGGACTCCTGGTGAGGTTTGGCTGACCCCTGCTGAACTCAGGCCCTGGATAAGCCCTGGACAACCTCGGTGAAGAGACTTGGTCGGCCACACCGTCTGCTGTGTACCTGGGCTCAGTCAGTCATGCCCATGAGGCAGTGCAGGCAGCCGTGGTGGGAGAGCAAAATAGCGAGAGCAGAGAGAGAGAGAGAGAAAGAATGTGTTTGCGTGCGTGCACATGCGCCCCCAGGTGCATAACGTGCTACACAAGTTTGAGGCCCCAGGAGCTCCTGACCGAGCGCCTGCATGTGTGGAAGGGTCCCCTCTACCTTGTCCTCTGTGCCACCTGTCCCCCCAGGATGTGCGACGCTGGGGAAGGCCTCTACACCTTCCAGACACAGGAGGGGGAACAGATTTACCAGCGGGTGCACAGTGCCACACTGGCCATCGCAGAGCAGCACAAGCGAGCCCTGCTGGAGATGGAGAAGAATGTGCGGGTGAGGCAGCGGCCCTGGCAGAGCGGAGGCAGGCGGGTGGGCGGGCCTCAGACCCATGGCCTTGGCCTGGAGCTCATGGCGGGACGCCCTTCCCACAGCTGCTGAACAAGGGCACGGAGCACTACTCGTACCCCTGCACGCCCACCACCATGCTGCCCCGCAGTGCCTACTGGCACCACATCACAGGCTCCCAGGACATTGCTGACGCCTCTAGCTGTGCAGGTGAGTGGTGCTGTGCCCCCAGAAGGTGCCGGGAAGGGCAGGTGAGGCGGGCCTTCTAACCCAGATGTACCCTGAGACAGCCTTGTGCCCACAGGTGAGGGGTATGGGGCAGCCCAGGCCTGCTCAGAAACGGACCTCCTCCACAGATTTATCCTGCTCAAGCCAAAGTCCAGCCCGGGGGCCAGTTGTGAGGCTCAGAGCCCCGCCCAGTGACACAGGACCGCCAGGGCTGCCTGTGCCGGCCTGGCTGCAGTGACCAGGGATGGCCCTGAGGGGCTGCTGGCCATCAGCCCAGACAGGTGCTGTCCCTCCTTTTCCCCTGAGGGTGAAGCTGGATGAAGGCATAGGGCTGGCCACACCGCCTGAGCATGAGGGGCTGGAGCCACGTGGAACTGTGTACTGTTCGTGATTTAATATATACGGCTTATGACATATTCTGTATTACTGAGACTTCTCCCCTCCCGCCATCCCCACATACGCACTTCTAATCCCCGAGTGGGTCATGGGCAAGGCTGGGTAAGAGTGTGAGCAGCGGCCCTGGCCTCTGTGGCCCACCCCTCCTGCCACCAGGCCCTGCTCGAGCTGCAGGGACCAGAGGGGGGACAATCAGGTGATGCCGGCACTGACCATGGGCCTTCCCCAAGCAGCCCAAGGGCCGACAGCAGGTGGTTACCCTGCTCCTCTGGGCCCAGCGAGGTACTGGAAGGGCCCGGCCTGGCACTTGGGAGGGTGACGCAGAGGGGACATCTGGCTGACATCTCAGGTGAATCTGGTCTTAAAACAGCATCTCTGTGCAGGCTCTTTCCTGCCTGCTGGGCTCAGACGCCCCGAAGTAGGGGTGCCGTGTTCTTCAGACAAGCAGAAGAAGGCTGTTTCCCGCCCGGGGCCAGGCTGGGCCAGGCCTGTGGAGAGGGCCCCTGCCACCCTTCTCAATGTCGGGTGGGCACTGCCTGCTCCCCTGGGACCAGCCAGAAGCCCTCAAAACCCCAGACCTCTCCTCCTCCCCACACGGTGCTGAGGCTCCTGCTGAAACACGACTCAAGCAATCCTTGTTCCAGTGCTGGTATCTATCGAGTACCGTGCAGAAGGGCTATCTTTCTACCCACAGCAAACCTTGGCTTACGAGGTTTGTGGTGTTCTGTTTTTAAGTACCTTAGGGTTCTGATTTGCAGGACTGGACCTTGTAAATAACCACTATTGGAGCTGTGGCAGGAGGCTCCCTCCCAAGAGGGCCCTGCAGTCCAATCGGCCTAGCACCTACTCTGGGGAGTGGACACCCCACGGAGTAAGCGGGTCCCTTGGCCTTGGGGAGAGCGGCCGAGCTGGCTGGCTCAGCTAGTGGCACTATGAAGCATGAAGGAGATGATGTTGTGCTCTTTATTGCCAAAAATAAAAAACTTTACAAAGACAGTGGTGACTCAGTTGCTAGCCCTTCCTTTCTGCACTCACTGGCAGCCTGATTGCCTGCTCTGAACAGGTTGCTCCCTGGAGCTGGTGTGAAGGACCAGGGCCAGGCTCCAAGGGAAGGAGACTGAAACGGGGCAGAGTGCCTCAAGCTCCCGGCAGCGAAGGGACTTGTTACTGATGCAACAACAGGGCCATGAGCTTCTTCTCTGGGGAGGGACAAGGGGTGGGGGGCTCCCCTCTTCCAAGGGTTGAGGAGCCTGGGAGAGGACTGGCAGCACCTGGATGGAGCTGGCCATCAATGGGAAGGGGGTCTGGCTGGGCTAACGGGGTGCCCCTGGGGCATGGGAGGGGCGAGGAGGGGGAGATGTGGGGTTTCTAGTAGCATTTCTGGCACCCGAACGTGGACCAAGATGCCAAACGTCCGAGAGAGCAGGTCTGCCTCATACTCAAAAGCTTCCTTGGTCTCCTGCCTGCCACGGAAGGACCGTGCCCCTGCCCAGGTGGTGCTATGCCCAGGTGGTGCTACGGCCTGCGAGCAGGTCAGCCTGCAGAGGTCTGGCTGTCGGGAGCAGGGCAGCTAGTTGATGGTCAGGACATCACTCTGGATCTCGCAGCTTAACTGGGTCTGCAGATCACTCAGCTTCTTCTTCAACTCAGACAGGGCTGAGAGGACAATGGTTTCGGGGCGCAGAGAGCCACAGGACTCCACGTTGTAGTAAAACCTGAGGTGCAAGAGTCTGCTGAGGCAGGCTGACAGCCTGGCCCTGAGCATGGCTGCCTGCCTTAGGGGCATAGCCGGGGCTCCCAGTGGACCTCCATTCACCCACGCCTCTTCCGGCCACAGACTGCCTCATCTCCACCCTGAAGAGGACAGGAAGGGCAGTGCTCAGGGCTGCAGAGCCCCGCCCACAGCAAGTCCCCGACTTTGGGGGCTGCAACGACTGGGTCACTGGAGGAATTGCTCAGTAACCCCGGGAGGAGGATAAGCTGTCTGGGGACGTGCGAAACGCATAGATTTACAGATCACAGGCCCCTCCTCAATTTACAGGAACCAGGAGATGAGACACAGGGTCTCCTGGTTCAGCTTGCACCCAAACACACCTTCCAGGTGCCAGAGCAGGGCCTTACCTCTCTGGCTTGCCATTGGGGTCGTAGGGCGCCTGGGACTCATCCTCATCCAGCTCCGAGTACTCGCTCTTCGGCCTGAGGTCAGACACGTCAGCACAGGGTTGCTGCGGCTGCTTCAGGCCCAGACCAGGCCTCCCCATCTCAGTCACCAGCACCCACTTCCATTTCTGCCACCCTGAGGGCATGCCTGCCCCTACTGGGTGGGCACCTACCATTCCTCTGGCTTGGGGTAGACGGTGTGCCTCAGGGCATTGTCAGGATCGTACTCGAACGCCACCCCTGCAGTAGGGTTCCACTTGGCGTGCTCCTTGCCAAAGCCCTTCTTGGCATAGGCGCGCAGTCTCAGCTCCTGCCCCTTCCTGAGCTTGACGATGAGGATGTCTGCAGGGAGGGGTTGGGGCACTGGAGTCAGGAGGCCCCAAGACAACCCCCCCCCCACCCACAGCCCGGTCTGCAACCAAGACCACACGCAGCTGTAGCAGTGCATGTGTAGCTGCTGTCCGTGCAGGCAGGGGCCCAGGAGGAGGCCGCACACTCGCCTCTTACCGTCCTGCTCCACGTACTCGTTGGGGTCACTGTCACGGTTTCGGGATGTAACCTGCAAGAAGCCCAAACAAACAGCCTGCTAGCCATTCACCTACCCAGCCAAGCTGGTGGTTTCTCCAGCACCCTAGGGCAGTCTCCAAACCCAGGGAGCCCTCCTGGGGCCCCATCTGAGAAGGGATCAGACCCTCACAGCACCCTGTGAGTCCTTTAAGAGGGCCCTTGGGTGGCAGCATGCAGCCCCAACCATACTCTGACCCTGTGGCAGGAAGCCAGTCAGGGCTGTAGAAGCCAGTGTCTTACAGACCCCACTCATCCCCCAAGTCTGACCACGTGGAGCCTGCTTGTGAGGAGAGGTCTTGGGCAGGAGTGCGCACCACTGACCGGGATGACGCGGGAACTGTTGGAGATGAGGTCTCGGGAGGTGACGTGGCGTGTCTGGTCCTCATTGCACCGCACATCCAAGGTGAACTCCACTGAGCACTCGGGGCAGAACTCTTCACAGGAGCACTCCTGAGGCCGCAGGGAAGCAGGACAGGGTGGGTGAATGCCCGAAGACCCTGAGTGGGATCTCTGCTCCCAACACCCAGCTCCTTCCATTACCTCCTCCCCCAAGTACACAGGCAGCACTGGCCCCAGGTTCAAGGCCCTTGTAAGACCTATGTCAATCTGCAGCTCTGCTCTCAGGGGCTGCTCCAGCGCAGGCGCATCCTGGTATGGGGGGGCACCTCCACACATACAGGCAGCCCTGCCCCCTTCCCACTCAGTCCAGAGAGGGGTGCTGGCTTCCTGGAAGCCAGGTGCACTCAGGTGACAAGGGAACAGAGGGGAAGCATAGTTCCACCTCTACACAAACCCACTAGACATGGCACACAGGCTGCCACCACAAACCACTCCAGCCAGTAAGAACCAACACAGTGCCACTCACCCAACAAAAGCCTCTCATCCTCGTTAGGGACAACGGGGCCTCTGCACAGCCAGCAAGAAGGCTTATGAGGCCGCAGTCACCCACTCCACTCCCCTCCCATCAGGGAGGGAAAGTCGAGAAGCCGGCAGCAGTAACAGGACAAGGAGGGGAAACCAGAGGTATCACCTGGCTGGCCTGCAGTCCCAGCCAGGAGAGCAGGGGCACACGGAGCCCGCCAGCAGCCGCTCCCACAGCTGCCACCTGAAATGCGTCCTGACAGACCATTCCCTCTGCAAGAACTAGAACTCGCAGAGCAGGAACTTCATGGAAGACAGCAAAGTGTCTGGCCCTCACAAACACCAGCGTGTTGATGCCCTGGTGTGTTCACGCCCTGTTGTGTTCACCGCAGCACCGCTCACAGGAGCCGAGAGGCCCAACGAACCACCCAGATGTCTGTCAACAGGGGAGGGTAAACCAAGAGTGTGTGGGCGCAGAGTGGAGTATTAGTCAGCCATAAAGAGAAACATGTCCTGCCGTGTTCTATGGCAGGAACGAGCCTTGAAAGCACGATGGTGACCGTAATCAGTCAGGCACAAAAGGGCCGATGTACGATCTCATTTATACAGGACCTGTAGTGGTGTGGTGGTTACGCACTGAGCTACGGCCCGCTAAGTCAGCAGTTTGAAACCACCAGCCCCTCCACAGGCAAAAGTCAAGGCTATCTACTCCCATCAAGAGATACTGTCTCAACACGTGGGACAGTTCTACCCAATCCTACAGGGCCGCTCAGCTGGCACTGACTTGATGGCAGTGAGCTTGGTGGCTTGCTGCATCGAACCCAGAGACCAGATTTTATCAGACTGAGGGGGAGGAAAAGAAGAACTGTTGCCTAGAGGCATTGAGCTTCCTCGGGGTGCTGGGCAAGTTTGCAGATGGACAGTAGTGGCGGCTGCACATGTTCAACAAGAGGAACGTTGCTGAAGGTGTCAGAATGGCTGAGACGGCAAATGTGGGTGCATATGCTTTACCACAACTGAAAAAAAAGAAAAAGGCTTTAAGGATGAGCTAACTGGAGAGGACCGCCAAAGGAAATGCTCGGACCCTAACTGGATCACAGCCCCACAAACAAAGAAGCAGCCAAACTCACTGCCATGGGGTCGATGCCCACTCAAGAGCGACCCTGCAGGACAGGGCACAACTAGCGCCC